ACCAGGGAGAATTGGGGATTACTGGGTTATATCCCCCCCTTAGAACCCCCTTCCTTAAGGATTCCATGATGAGCCCTGGGTCCCGGTTTGGGAAGCCTTTGATCCTCCCAATCGCTCGGTCGAAGATTGGAAGCTCAGATAACCAGGTGGTCGAGGAAGATGCCCCTTGAAGCCCAGGTGAGCTACTGGGCCTGCTCAGACCGAGTGGTACCAGATCCTGGGATGTGCAACAAAAACTGACAGATGTCGAAGGTTTGAGTTCGTCTCAGAAGCAGTGGCACGCAATGTCGGGGCTGAGTGAGTAGAAGAGGGAAGGGTTCCAAAAGCCGATTATCTCTGGGGCCTTGAAGCATGGGGCTTTGCACTTGAATGTTTTGGTGTTATGGTCTTGAGTCTATAGTTTAGCGTTTTGACTTTCAGGCGATTGCACACGTCCTGATGCAAAAAAAGTGTTTCGGGCATCAAGTGAGTTTCTACAGCGCAGGCCCCTTAAGCCTTGAGCCCTGCCACGGCAAGTTCCAGCACTCAAGCGTCCGCTCATCTTGAACCGCGGACATCCAATCCACGAAAAGCTCCCATTCACCCAATCCTTCCCAAATTCGATCAATGACTTCTGCTGCGTGGCGGCACTGGCAAAGCCGGAACTCACCTTGATCCCGAAAAGAGCTGGCACAAATGCCACGCCGACCCCTCAAGAATTTGCTTCAACCTTTCATTCCATTTCTCCCTCGGCCGAGACCCCAGATGCAGTCACTTGTTGTGAGTTAGGCAGGACAGTAGCCCGAAGACCAGTGCAAGACCATCTGAGTTACTATGTAAGCAGTAATTTCGGTCTGCTATCAATGCACGGGCACAGTCTCACAAATAGCGGGACATCCACAATCTCAGCAGTATGATCGCCATAGTAGCATTGTGACAATAGCAAGTTGTGATAAACTTGGCAGTAGCTCTTTCAAGATAAAACAAATTGGTGGCCATGGTAATGAGGAAATAGCAGTAATTTGGTTTGGGTAATGACACCACCACCACCACCACCACCACCACCACCACCACCACGACTACTACTACTACTACTACTACTACTACTACTACTCCTACTCCTGCTGCTGCTTCTGCTGTCACTACCACCGCCACGACGACGCCGACGACCATTACTATTCTGACTAATACTAGCAATAACAATAACGCCGCAATAGTCATCAAATTAGAATTTTTACTGTGCCTCTAACGGTAGCAGGAACAACAGCAACAAACCACAGGAGCAGTGGCAACGGCAGCTTCTATGCTGCTAATATAACTACCAGTACAAGCACTAGTGATCACTAGTGTGTAACAACACCGAAACAGGAGGACAGCAACAATAATAATTCATAGTATCCCATCAATACATTGTATTTCTAAACCCTCAACCCTAAGCCCTAAACCCTACGCCGTTCCTGCCCTTCAGGAGCGGACGTGGCTGCCCGGGCCCGCTCTGCGCGTGCCGCGAGTCCTGGCGGCTGCCGGGCCTCGGGAATTTTCCGAGGCGGATTTGTAGGGACGGGGTTATGGCCTTTAGGGGTATGGGGCTTGGGCGCTTCGGTCGTGAGGTTTTGTGGGGCTTTTTAGGATTTCGGGCACAGGGGTTCCGGAGTTTAGGGCTTAGTGCATTGCAGTCTGCTCAAAAAAGGGTTGTCGTTATTTTTGCTAGGTTTTTTGCTGGTGAAGCCGCTTTGTTCGGGCAAGGGCTTCAGGGTGGTCAGGACTCCGGCTCTTGCGGATTTCAATCAGGTCCAGGGATTGACTGTAGGAAGCATTGTCTTCTGGTCGGTGCCTTTGCATTGTTTAGTCAAGTGTTGTTGTTGGATGTGTATGGGGTTTTTCGTGCTTACTCGCCCTGTTTGTTCCCTGTCAGGCACCAGCGTCGCCGGAAAGCGAAGGCGAAGCTGACCCAACTGCCGCACAGGCAGATCCGGAGGACCTCGGTGACGGCCATGTCACGAATTGAAAGGTGCTCCTTTCCATCCCCGCCACGAAGAGCCTGTGGCGTTGCCGTGAGGAGATCCTGCTTCAGCTGGAGGAAGCTGGAGTTTTCGAGGGGCAAGATGCCTGGCTCCAGTGGTGTAGGAGGGACGGGCCCGACCCGGAAACTCAAGGTCAACATGAGCACCGAAGTGAAGGGCCTGAGCCTGAAAACCCCACAGCCCCAAGCCCCAAAGTCCCTGCAGCGAATATAGGTATAAGACCCTCTTCCAATCATTAAAGCCGGACTTGGCGTTCAGGGCTTGGGGCGACTAAGGGTCGGGAGGTAGGGCGCGGACTTCAGGATTTTGGGGTTGTGGAATCTTGTTTAAGGCATGGCGGCAGCTGTTAAGCAGGAAGATTCGAATTCAGAGCTTGCTCACCAACAAGGCCCTCGACTGGAATGGCGCAGTGACCTTGAGCGAGGGTCAGGTCAGCTCGTTCCCTATTTGAACCCTTACGCCCCAAGCCTGCGCGACTGTAAGCGACCACAAGTAACCGAAGTCCTACGCCCTTGAATGCCGCCCAGGAGGAGGTATTACTTCAGCTTCGCAAGTTGGCCAAGCAAGGAATCCACGCAAGGGTTTGTCCGAAGTTCTTTGCTTGCTTCGATGACAAGTTAAACTTCAAAGGATACAGTCTGATGCGGTACTACGATGCTTCATGTGCGTCTACGTGCATTGTCAAAAGACTCCGGCAAAGAGTAGACGCTGAAGTGCCGTTGCTTGGCATTCGTTGGCGAGCTTTGATGATGATGATGATGATGATGATGATGATGAAGATGAAGATGATGGTCATGGTGATGATGATGAGAATGACGACCGTGACGATGATGATGATGATGATGTGGGTGACGATGATGATGTATTGCTGCCTGTTCATTCCCAGCTCACGATGGCGCTTCAGAAGCCACACCCGTAAACAGCAAGATCACCGCATCGACGGTGGCAAGAACAATCTGTGGAGAGATTCTGGGAGATGCGGCATGTGCGAAGGAGTTCATCCCCTCGATGCACTCGCCGGAAGCGCAGTGCCGGAGGACCGCGACTACTGCGATCTTACCAAACTCAGTTGCCGGGTTCTAGGATGGGGCTTTAGCAAGTCTTGGAGAGTGCTATAAGAGTTAGAAGATACTTAGTCTTACATCTCTACCCATACCCGACTGACTAGGTCTCTTGATCCTCCGGGTACACCCTACTTTGGTGCTCGGCTCCTTTCTCAAGGTACGACACTGTGCCCCGGTCAAAACGCAGCTGCAATAGCAACTCAAATGATAATCGTAATCGCAATAATAACAATAATGCTACTCTTCGGTATATATATATATATATAATACACATACATACGTACATACATTACATTACATTACATTACATTACATTACATTACATTACATTACATTACATTACATTACATTACATTACATTACATTACATTACATTACATTACATTACTACATACAGACATACAGACATACATACATACATACATACATACATACATACATACATACATACATACATACACACATGCACACATGCACACATACATACATACATACATACATACATGCATACATACATATGGAGCCCGGAGACATTGTGCGTGGCATGTGCCTGCCTGTCCATGCGAAGAGAGTACTGCAAGTGAAAGGGTTGGCCTTGTGACCCCAAAGGCCTCTTGGCTCAAACTCTACGCCCCGAGGAATCAGCACTCAACCACCTAAACGCTAAGCACCTTCTATTTCTAAGGTTAGAAGTATGGGCCCCTAATATGGACCCTTAGGCCTTTCTAGGGACCCTTAAGGGTACATAAGGATCCCAGGGTTAAGGGCCCATACTAGGGGCCCATGGGTTCAACCTTAGACTCTTGCAGCTCTCCTCTGACTCTGGAGCTCAAGCTTCTTTCGATACATACACCCACCAAAAGCCCTAAAGGCTCAAACCCAAGAAAGCCCCCCACACCTCTAAAACCCTGAACCTCGAAAGCCTCGCGATGCGACGCTTTTGCGTCCTAAGCCCTACCCCCCAAACCAAAACCCTACGAGTCGAAGCCCAGGCCCCAGAAGCCTTCCAAAAACCCGGAAGTTGAAACCCTAAACCCTAAACCCTTGAGGCCCTAAATAAATCCCCAAACCCCTAAACCCCTTAGTCCCCATAATCCCCGAACCCCTAAAGCCCCCCTCCCCCTTTGTAGCCGGCAAGGAGGAGCCGGAGGAGCCCGTTCTCGACTCCTTCGATGTGGCAGGCCAGGCTTTTGGTCATTTAGGGTTTAGGGCTTAGGGTGTGGGGTGTAGGGTGTAGGGTTTAGGGTCACCTTCAGAGGGGTCACAGTCAGAGGGTTGAGGGTTTAGGGTCTATTAGGGCAGAGCCTTCCTCAGCCACCTTAGGAGACCTAGGGGATGCACTCGCGAGCAGCGCAAGACAGAACTAGAAGCTGTAGAACGAATGATGCATCCTACAAGGGATGACTTATCTTATCCAGGATCCTGCAAGCTTGACTCGAGATGTACTCAAACAAGCGGGCTCTTTCATGACTCGACCGCATGAGGCGATGCAAGGGCGACGCCAGCACATTTAGAATCCGTGCTTGAAAAAGGGTTTATTAGGGTTCCCAAACCCCCTATAGGGTTTAGGGTTTTTTACGGTTCCTAAACCCTGAGGGTTAGGAGTTTATTAGGGTTCCTACACCCCCTAGGGTTTAGGGTTTAGGCGGCAGCTTTCAATTCGCTTTTCCTGTCTTGAACTTCGACTCCGGCTCTTCTACTTGAAGCTTTTGATTTGCTCTATATATGGGAGTTTCCCAAAATTAGGGGTACCCTAGTTTGGGGGTCCTTATATTAAGGATCCTACTATTTTGGGGTACTATATTGGGTCCCCTAATTTTTGGAAACACCCATATCTTTGGCTCAGGATTTGGGGCGTTAGGGCTCAGCGTGCCGGAGCGTCTCCACTCCACCTGAGCCAGAAGTCATGCAATCATCTTCATATTCTCGGCCATCTTCAAAGCCGATCTCCTTAACTGGGGTTTAGGGTTTAGGAGTCTTAAATTTCTTGAAACCGAAGCCCGGAACCCTAAACCGATTCGGCTCCCGGAGGAATCGCAAAGTATCTCCAAGACCACGAGTGCAAGGACGTGGTGGTCATGTGTGGAGCGGGGCTCTCCACTGCTGCGGGGACACTTGCCCAAAGGCTCTCAAACAGGATGGAACTGTGCTTAGGCCGTGTTGGGTTCAGGATGATCATGCATAGGCTCAAGCAAGTGTGTTCCATGACATACCTTCTGGTTAGCTAGTTCATGGTCCTCATGGTCCCAATCCCGCTACCCGCTCCTCGAATTTCCGGCTCGAGGCATAAACAGTTAACGATACTACAAGAGCAAACCCAAAGACTAAGTGGCCGACGAGTGATCGAAGCCCTACACTGTAAAACGCAGAGGAGTTGTTGACGGTTGAAAAGGTTGCAATGCAGACCCTGAACCTCCTAATATTATCATTAACATTGTTTTTACTTTATGATTATTACTATTAGTGGCACGTTGCTACTATAGGACTAAATTTTATAATTTACTGTTTTGAGCCCCCCAAACCTCTGAATCCGTTGGAAGATTGTGGCTGAGGATACCGGACTTCCGCACCCCAGGAACGGGCCTCTACGATGCTCAGCTCAAATGTTTCTAGTGGAACAATGTTCTCACGATGGAATTTGATAGAAGGTTTTGCCACTAGCCTAAGCCCCAAATCCTTGACCTTCAGTGTCTTGCCGGAAAAAGGGTGCTGATGCCTTTTTGCGTCCGGAGCTTCGTTTCGGCAGGGATGTTAGGTCCTGCGTCCTGGCATGTTCGTTGCACAAATGTCCGGCTCTCCGTGTGTCCGTTGCCCATGGGCACTTCTAGAAACTAGGGGCACCTTGTTCGGAGCCCTTTAGGCCTGTACCTGAGGATCAGTCTGTTTCTTTGCCTGTCTTTCTGTCTGTCTGTATGTATGCATGTATGCGTCTAGATTTCATATACATATATAAACAAACGAGCACGCACACGCACTTGGTAAAACTAGGGCCATACCCCAGGACACGTTGCAGCGGTTCAATCTCTCACAGCCGGAGGCGATCTTCGAGCTGGACTCTCGGGCTTAGTTTGGTTCAAAGCTAGGCTCGTTTTCGCATTGTTTGGAGTTTCATATGTGTGTGTGTGTGTGTCTGTGTGTTGAGTGTGCCGACCTGGGAATTTTCAAAGTAGGCTGATGTGGGCATGAGAAGAGTTTCAGTGCACATTGGGTACGGGTACGGCCAGTGATTGGTATCCCACAATCCTTCAACTGAGGACTTCTTCCGCCAGGAGCCAGGCCGGGTATCGGTGTCCTCGGCGTCACGTGCTCGTCTGCAGACACTTGCATCTCCCAGTCTGCAGCCCTCCAGAGGCTTCTTGCGAACCCTGGTGCTCATGTTGGCAATAGTTGCCCCATCCCTAAACCCTAAACCCTAAGGTGTTTCAGTCAAGCAGTTGGCTTGGTGCAGGCCCGTTCTACGAGCTTTGTCGAGAACTCTGGCCTGGACGGTACAAGCCGACATTGGGGCACTACTTCATCAAGCTGCTGCTTAGCTGAGCGGCAAATGTCTGCTTAGGGGTGGCGGTTGGGGCTGGTTGCAAATCTCCGTAGGTTCTGGCTTCTGGTGCCGCAGGCATCGAAAAGTCGAAAAGGAGGCGTGTTTACTTCGGTACAGCCTAGATGAAGCAAAAGCTGGAACTTAAAATTGAAAGGGTTGACATTCCGACCGATTCCTAGTCCTGCTGCTGTAGCGGTAGCGACTACGGATCAGCGAGAGACGGAGGCCAAGAGGACGGAAGTGCGTTCCAGATGTCAGGAAAAGGGAACCAGCCTTCCGAAGTTCGACTGGCAAGGCCTGCAAGACTTGAGTCTTGTGGTGCTGTTGTTCCCCAGGCCTCTTTCTTCTACTTGACGTGTATCGTTGGTATGATCAGGCCCCGCCTGCTGCAGAAGTTTTGCTACTGGCCCGTGTCGATTTTGCAACATCTGCACCCCTACATCCAAGACCCGAGAAGCCGCAAGCCGAAGCCCTTCGAAGCCCTGAGCCCCAAGCCCAACGCCCGAAAACGCTGATGCTCAGCTGCGTGAATCCGAGGCTCGAAGCCAAGGCAAGGAAGATGAAGTCCTGCCGGGGGTAAGGAAGGCTACCTATAGTCTCCATTATAATTCCATTTTGGGGCTTTCTTATAAAATCCTTAATATATATGTGGCTAAACCAAAAAAAGGAACTACGATGGAGACTATAGGTAGTATCTTGGACCTTTAACCGGAGGATAGGGCATGAAATTTGGCGATCGGCCGGGATGCGAGATGACAAGATCAGCGGCGTTTGGGGGTTCGCTGTGTTTGGGCCGCTCTCTATAGCAACAGTCGAGTCCAGCACCTGCATGTGCATACGTGTGCACATGTAAGCACAGCATATCACAGTATGCAACAGACAGCATGTGATTCAATGTCGGATGTCAATACATACATTTTTGCATGGATGGACGTGCGGATGTATGTGGGCCGGTATGTCTGTACTCAGGGCCGAGGGCCGCCACTGAGCTCTGCAAGCGAACGAAACTTTGCAGGACGGAAAGACGATGAGCAAGCATAATCTCTGCACAGGATGAGACAGACAATTCGAAGAAGATGTGCTTGTACCCTCAGCCGTCGACCTGGGTTCAGTGGTCGGAGTGTTTTGCCTTACAATGGTGGTGCAGCTAAGGTCAGTATAACCCTGACGAGCACCAAGCCGGAGTAGAAACTCGGAGAAGTACAGTCTATGAGGCCTCGTAAAGTGAGGATGTAGCTGGGTCTGCTGGTAATTATGCCATAGCGAGAATCCGGAGAGTTACAACTTCGAACCAACAAGCAGAACAGAGCCATTAAGTCCGCCATCCGTCTGCACTAAATCTTGTGAAATCCGGTGTTCAGGGCATCCTGCGCCGATGCTACACGCAGAGACTGGGCAGCAAGACCAGCAAGACTGCCAGGTGGAGCTAAATGGGTCTGAGTGGGATTTCCCTTTCTGTCCGGCACAAAATAGTGTAGCTTCGAGGCTACAGGCTTCAAGAATATTTTATTACCACGCATGCAACTTCGATCGGCGCAGCCTAATTACATCACAACACCCATGCCAGCAGCAGATCTGCGTAGGTTCTCTGACCCAACCAGCAAAAGCCCGTCACCCGCGCTAAGGAACATTGTGGCTCTGTTGCACTTCGTCCATGTCATGCCGAAATGCTTGGGCCATACCTGTTTGAGCCTCCAAAGCCATAGATTAGAGTAGCGCAGTAGGAAGGCAATCTTTCTGGCCAGTGTTGTAAGCGAGAGACCGCAGAGTTTGCAGCCCGGATGCGCCGGGGCTTGATCGTAGAAAAGAGGGTCGATCTAGGAGTATGTGCAAGAATCAGGATTCACTGGAGCGGCAAGCTGGCGTGAGCCGGCAGAGCCTTGGTGGCTGACGATAGCTTGCATGGGCTGGTCTTGGCGCTTCCAAACTTCCGGCAGATGGGATGTCAGGATTTCGCCAGGCCGTGTTATTAACAGACACTGCCTGGCTAAATCTGGAAGAACTTACTCTCCGCCAGAGGGCATCGAAGAGTTTGAATGCCCCTCTTCCAGCGCACAGGAAAATCGTAGCAGCCCATGGGAACTTCGATGAAGCTCACGTTATCGACAAAGTGCCCGAGCAAGTTGCTGGTCTGCAAGGGGTAGCACGAGTTGAGATGCACTGTTGTGAGGTTCGCGTCCGATCGCGGTGTGCGGTTTTTGCGCCGCTTTGTTCCAGCACGGGATGCTTGTACCCCAGACAACAGATGAAACTCTTCGAGATCTAAGCCCATTGAAGCAAGTTGCGGGTAGCATCCGTCTTGTGCTTCGCGTCCCGTGTTGTGCTGCGGAGTCTGGTGCGTGGTCAGAGGCTCAGCCGGCCAGGAGCAGGTCAAGTGGGGATGGCAACAAAAACCTATTCCATCGACCGGAAACCCGAGCCCCACAAGCATTCAAGGATGTGTAAAGAACCCCCCCAGTCCCAGAACGCGGGCTTGCGAATTCGGCACTCCAGGCAGTGGACATCGAGGAGCTCAGGCGCGACATGCATGAAGTGTGCAAAGCAACAAGCCCTAATGCAGTATACCGTAAGAAAGGGGTCTTACTAGTTAGACCTCTTTTTCCCGTCTAGTACGCCCAGCTGACCTGTAAAGAGGCCTTTCTTGCCTTCCATGGGTTTTTCGACAAGTTTCGAGTTTGCAACACTCGATCAACTCATAGGGCCTTGCAGTATAGAAGCCAAAACAACGATATACTAATACATGTTCAGGGCTCCTTATGACGAGTATACTGTCGTATGCCCCAAGCTTCTCTGCTGGGTTTAGGGTTTAGGGATCAGCAAAGAAGAAGCTTAAGATTGGTGTCATGTTTCGCAAACACTGTCTAGCTCCCCGCAGCCTGTAAAGCTGAGAGACGGGAATCTGGCTTAGCCTCGCAGCAAGTTCATGCAGTTCTCCCGGTCTCGGTCTCAAACTACCGGTTTCGTTTCATTTTTTGTTTGAGGCACAGATGTCAACCTCAGAAACGAGCAAGCTTTCCAGCTCGAAGCATAGGAAGTTACAGTCGAAGCGTGTGACTCTGAGTAGTCCGATAGAACCTGAGGCTTCGCCACGCTATAAGCCTTACAGTCTACCAAGCCGGAAACCTGCAGAGCGCTAAGCAACAACAACTCCAAAAGCCCTGATGCTCTAGAGCCTGAAAACCCAAACCCAAAGCAATGGCAAACCCTAAAAAACCCGACTCCCTAGTCCGAGTTGCGAGAGCGTAAACCCTAAACCCTAAACCCCTGAAAACCCAAAGCAATGGCAAACCCTAAACCCTAAACCCTTGAAAACCCAAAGCAATGGCAAACCCTAAACCCTAAGCCCCTGAAAACCCAAAGCAATGGCAGGAAGGCGGTCATTGCCGGCGAGAAAGGCTGGCGTGCCCTGGCCGAGGCCAAAGGCGGCCTCGTGACGCTCTTCCGCAGCTCGAACTCAGAGATCCCAATATCTTAGGAGCCCAGTACATAAACTTTAAACTTTTTTGGTATATTAAACCCCGACTAACAGAAAAGTTTAAACTTTTTTGGGCCAGGGTACTGGGCAGCTAAGATATCCCTTAATCAAGGAATAAAAACCTTGGAAAGGGAATAAAACCCTGGAAAAGGAATAAAAACCTTAAGTATTATAGGGGCCTTCATAGTATGATTTAAGGCATATGCCTTAACTAAGGGGGTATTGGGATCTCTGGGAAACTCAAGACCTGACCAGGCTTTGAGGTGGTTTGGGGTTTGGGGCGTGTTGGTTTCTGTGCTCTGCCTCTGAGTCCTTGAGAAAAAGAGAGGGCTGAAATTCTGGAGCCCGAAACTCTCAGCTGGAGGATGGCGTTCAAGATCTGCTAGTGTTCCATGGACCCCAAACTATGTAACATCACAGACACAGATGCTCGATATGTTGATGTAACATGCTTCATCTGGGGTCGTCCCTCCCATCAAGAGCAAGGAAACCCAAAGTGGTTCTCTTCGGCGAGAGCCTGCCGGACCGTTTCTGGGAGCTCAGTGACGCGGATCTGGAAGCTTGCGCAGCCTGGCTTGGGAAACGGTGCTTATAAGCTCTGTGTGTTATTCATTGTACGTGGAGTTGGGGGTCGGCCGGGGGTCACATGGGAGTCTCTGCGGCCTTCGATTTTTTAAATGGTAACATGTTCTGGGTCCTAGGAAGATTTTGAGACTCGTGGCACAGCTTATCCTAGCGTCTCTTCGTTGCTGCTGGCGCTTTCGCCGATGCTACTCGAAACTACCAGACCTGGGCCTTCTAACACGCGACGGCCGAAGCCGCAAACCTTCAACCCCTGCGAAGAAACTAAAGCTCGAAACCTTGGCACTACTGACGGCTAAAGAACAACAGGGCCCTAAGAAGACTTGTTGAGGCCATGTTGAAATGCAGTCCAAAAGTCGTGTGCTAAGGAACCTTATCAACACCCTTGGAAGCCACCCTCCGAAGACCCTCTACCTCACTTACATCCTAAAAACTTGCCTGGAACCGTGCAGATCTCCAAACAAGACTGGAATAAGACCGAAAGCCTGCAACAAGGAACTAGCGTGTAGAACAAAGCCCTGACAGAACCACCTTCCTACAGTTCGCATGTCTACAACCCGTATAAGGTAGCACTTGACTTAGAATGCCCTAAGCCCTAATCTGGCTTGCCCGAGTTGAGAGAGTTCAAACCCCAAGCCTTCAAAGGATCTGCTCATCGTTATGGGAACCTCAACACTAAACCCTAAACCCTAAACCGTGGCTCTGCAAAGGATCTGCTCATCGTTATGGGAACCTCCCTCGTCGTCGAACCATTCGCAGGGCTGGTTGGCCAGGCACCTTCCAGGACGCCGCGGCTTCTCATCAACAGGCGGGGTCTCTAAACCCTAAACCCTAA